TCTGCCTCACCTTCCTCCTCCGAACATCAGTGGTAGATGCAGTAACTTGGTCCTCCAGCCAGGTCACATGAAGGGTTCCACTTCTTCCACGGTAACAATGTCCAAACTCAACAAAATAAAAACTCTTCCACTCTGCCCAGGCTCTGTTCTCCACAGGCTCCTTGTTCTGCAGAGCTCTTCCTTGCTCTATTACAGAGGGCTGCTTCTGAGGGTTTTCTCCATGGAGGCCAAGCTCCTCCTAAGACAATGACTCTCAGGTCTTCAGCCCTGTAGCTTCTCTTTTCCAGGCCTACTTAAGGACTCTGCTTCTCCCCAGCTGCCCTCTCCCTTCAGGAACAGTACCAGGTACAAGATCCTTTCCACAAGTCCCTCTTTCATTCCTTTCCTAAAGAAAGAAAAAGCCCAGCTATTTCTCTCTTAAGTATCCTCTCCCACTTGCCCTGCAGGCCTTCCTTTGCAGAAACTGCGCAGCTGGATTTAATCCTTTATTACCTGTCTCCCCACCAGGTGCCAGAGAATGGGCTAATTGGTATCACCGGCTCCCCTTAACCCTGTCACTTCCAGTGTGGGGTATACACTCTTCCATAGCACTCTAGAGCCAAATTCTGGAGAAATGCACTCCCTGACTGTATGGAAAGGGTTTGTTTGGGTGGGTCGAGGAAAAGGTAGGAGCGTGGCCCGCGAGTCTATGGACTGCATAGATCCATTGGGCACTGCCTATGTTAGAACAGACAGGAGAAGACCTGGTGTAGCATTGCCACCATCTTCCTTTGAAGCCACAGACTTTGCATTGTACAACTACTGCTCAGTTGGTGCCTTGTGGGGTTTCAGAATTTAGGAGAAGCTAAAGGAAGAACTGGAAAAAAGCCATTCTGCCTAGTATTGCCACCTGGTAATCCGAAAGGATTTTTCCTTCAGAGTGAGGGGACTAGAGCACACAGTCACGAATGGGAAGACAATGGCAACATGATGTCTCTCCAACTGCACAATGGGACAAGCCTTCTACATGGATGCCCTAAACTATGCTCATCTAGGGACAGGAACAACCGCCTGCCTTTGCATTCCTAAGAATCCCTCTCCTCCAAGGGAATGATGGTTAGAACAATCTGGGTAAGGAATCTCATTATCTTTCTTTAGTAAATATTCCTCTCCCATAGGTTTTTGCCACTCAAGGGGATAATCTGGCCCAGATCTTTAAAGGGATTTAGGCACCTAATCCTATTGCTCAATCACTGGGAATTAGATGCCTTAATCCCTTTGAGGTTTCAGGCCTAAACCCATTACCAATGTTGAATACTTATTCCATTCATCATTCCTTAATAGCCTTCAATTACAGCAGCAGAACTGTATTCATAGCTATTTAATGTGATCATTGATTAGTTTGTTTTTTCTCCATTTGCAGTGTTCTGCCAGGTCTTAGTCTAATGCATGATTACAGATATGATGCCTTAGAAATGCAACAGCAAGAGTGGTGTTTTTCACAGTGCTAGTGTCATGTGTGTGCTCAGTGAATGAACTCCCCGGGTAGCTTCCAATGTGTGGGGGAACACAGCCAGTCATTAAGTTAAAAGTTGAGAAGGTCAAGTATTTGTCAAGACTGGTAATTTATTCTACTGTCAACCTTTGGAATGAGAATGTGACATTGTAAGAAAACTAGCTCATTGTTGACACACTTTTAAAGACAGCATTTCCCTTAGCTACCAGAACAAACTGTATCTTTTTCCCCATGAGTATTTATAGCTGGGCAAATACAAAAAATATATATATATATCCATGACCATTCAAATTGTTTAAACAAATTCACTTAGTTTCTGTGCCCATTTTAGGATCACTTCCCACAGATATTCTGCCCTTGATCCAGGAAAAGCATATGCTTAATTTTAAGCACAGCCGTAGTCCCATTGAAGTCTATGGGATTACTCGTGCACTTAAAATTAAGCACATGTTTAAGTGTTTTGCTCAATCTGGACCATTACAAAGAACTTTGCTGGCAAGAATATTTGCAGAAAGAGCAAATTATAAACATATATTGCAGAATATTTGCAGACAGCAAATCTAGATTTCATAATTAGGAATATTCAGATTGGAATGCTGGATTAAAAAGTAGCACTCCTCCAGTCAGGGCACAGAAACATATTATCTGAACTATGTGTGCAATCAAAATAGCTCAATTGTCTCATATTGACTATTTGCAATCATGAATGACCAAGTATTATTTGCAGAAATTATTTTGTGAATTGTTTTGAATAAGGAACAAAAATGAAGATTATGATTTGTTCATCAACAATTCACAAGCAGAAAAAGTATTGAATAAATTGTTTACCATAATTTTTTCACCCAGTTCTTATATTATGCTACTTACTGTAACTCTTACAGTAATACTCTTAATTTCCCTGAAAACTTCCATTTTTTATTATAATGAAATCTGCACACAAGGAACAGATGGAGGTCCATTGCTTCCAAGAAGGTCTAATAAACGTGGAGCAAAGTGGTACACCTTGCATGATAATTTGCAGTTGACTCTTAAACCAGAAGTTTGCATAACTAGAGTAGTTTCTTATACAAGTTTCACTGCACCTGGGATTCTAACTAATAATGAACAAACTTCAAACAGCTTGGTTTAGAAGCCTGGATGCCTGTGTAAATGCTTATAACAAACTTTATAAAGCATCTTAGTCTGGAAACTGGACTGGAAATCATACGAATGTTAGTTTTCTTATGAGATTTCTAGTATGCCCTAGTTTCAAGGGGGTGAGAAATGCCACATAAATTCCTTCTCACAACAGAGCAAGATTCCTCCTTGCAGTCCCACCTGAAAACCAGGAATTGCTGAGGTACACACAAGGAAAAAGGGAATTAGCAAGCTTTCCCAAACCTCAGGAAAGGATGTGGGTCCAGCTAATTGTCATTGTGAGCCAAGGTTTGAGTCGGTTCTTATTTTATCACAGATGTGTCACCCACCTCTAATTTTTATGTGTGTGTGTTTCTGGAAAGGCCCACTTTTCTATAGGGTGGATTGGTTCTTTTCCATGTTCAAAACATCTCTCCCAATCAAAGAAGTCAGGAACCTTCAAAGATGCACCTTGTGATCTAAAGGGATGCCTTCCTCAAAGGAAAAAAATGGAAAAAGAAAAAAAAAGCAAGGGATAAATAGGATGGGGAAGAGGATAAGAGTGGGAAGTAAATGGAAATTATTTTTAAAAGTATGAGAAGAATGGAGGAGAAAGAAGAAATGGAAGAGTAAATTAAGTGCATTTGTAGGAGTTAGATATAATACAACCAGGTGCTGGAACATTTTCTCCTTATATCTTTGCTAATGCAAGGCAGTCCTGACCTACAACACCCCCGCCCCCAATGCTGGGGTACTCTTACTACTTGTGAATTAATAAGTAAGAGCTCAAATGATGATGTGCAATTGTACATTAGGAATGGAGACAACCACAACTCACTCACACACACCCCTCCTTCCCCCCCCCTTTCTTTCTCTCTCTCCCTTTGAATTTTATTTTCTCTGTACAGAACAGTTTTCTTCTACAAGTAATTCTAACAAAGGGTGATGGCTTGGTGATCAATGATTGCACGTCCCACATGTTGGAGACTTATTAAATCTGAAGCAGTAGCTGAATGGAAACGACATCTAGAACAATACTGGATTCCCAGACGTGAGCGGTGCAGAGGTGAGAAATCTGGTATGGGACAAATTCAGGGTCTAGTCCTGCTGCCCTTACCCTTACCCTCTGGGAACAATGCTATTGACTTTAGTAAGAAAATGCTGCAGATCCTACTATTGGCCCATGATAAAAGTTGGCATGTCATTCTTTCTGTCTGACAGCTAACCCATCTTGGAGAAGTTAGGAACCGTCTGAGAACGGAAGGATCTGGAGCTCTATAGCTGCTATTTACCGCTCAGAAACATTAGCTCTATAATCAGTCCATGGAACTATGATTGAGAAACTCACAACTAGCACCCAAAATACCAGGTGGCCTGAATGTATGAAATTGCTCTCATAAGCAACTGCAGAGGATGGCGTGGGCCAATCCTGGTGCTTGTGTAGACGCTTCCTCTGGGGACTGTTGTCAAGAGCCATGCAGGGAGCTGCTCTGTGTGTCAATAAAGGCTGTAACAAGCAGGCACACCGGAGCCTAGGAGGGGGAAACCTGGCTGCCTACATGGCCGTATACAAAAGCGCCCATATTACAAAACGGGCGTGGGGCTAGAGCGGTTTAGATTGGAGCTATAAATAGCCCTTGTCTGCAAATCGGACTCTTCACGCGTGTTTTGTGCCCCGTGTTCACTGATATAAGTACCCAGGGCGCTGGCGGGGAGCTGGTCACACGGGCTGTAGGCTCTGCCCGGGAGCGCTGGGGCACAGGGACTGCGGGCAGCGAGGGGAGCGCTCCGGATCGCAGCGCGGCGGGAGAGGACTTTCCCCGGCGCTGGGGCTGCCCGCTGGCTTTTGGAGAGAGCCTTTCGGTGGGAGTTTAGCGCAGCCAAGCGACGGACCGGAGCCATCCAGCAGCTCGGGAACTTTGTCGCCTCGGAGCAAGCCCCCCAGCTCGGTTGGCCGGCGGGGGGAGGAACGGGAGAGAAGAGCTGGAGGAAGGGCTGAGGCTGGGCGCTTCCCCGAGCGGAGATGTGGGGCTGGGCTCCCTGGGGGGCCCCCCACTTGAGGGATCTGCTAGCCACTGCGGGGCGATGATCGGGGCGCCTGGCGGGGCTGCCTTCACTGCACTGATTCTTTGCCGAGCGGACGGGGCTCTCTGGCCAGCCGCCTGCCCTGGAAGCCTCGGGGGGCGGGGGGGGGGTGTTTTGGGGTGGGGGTAAGCGATCAATGCTGCTCCCCGACGCGCTGGGGAAGGAGGGTCCCCCTGGCTGCCCCCCGCTGGGGCTAATGGCTGGCGCTGGAGCCCCACGGCGCCTGGAGTGACTGGAGCTGGGAAGCTGCTCCAGGCTTTGGCGGCTCGGCGGTGAGAGGCGCGCCAGGGACCGGAGGAGGAGGAGGAAGGGGGCCGGTCGCTTCTCCTGGCTGCCCGGCCGCTGGCTGTCCGTGATGTGGAGACTGGGTGTGTGGTGGCTCCTGAGCAGGGTCTGTCTGCTGCTGCTGCCGCCCTGCGCCCTGGTGCTAGCCCGGGTGCCCGGCTCCTCCTCCCACCCGCAGCCCTGCCAGATCCTCAAGCGGATCGGGCACACCGTGAGGATCGGGGCGGCTCACCTGCAGCCCTGGGCGGCTCCCTCCCGGACCCACCGCGGCTGGAGCTGGGGGGCGCACCATGCCGCCCCGCGTGGAGGAGTGCCGGATCCCGCTCCCGGAGCGCAGGAGGAAGGGAGACGCGGGAGCAAAGGGGCACAACGTGCGCACAAAGCCGCCCAACCTCCCGGGACTACCGGCTGGAAGGGCGCCGGGATTCAGAGGCAGTGGCTCGGGACCAGCCTCGGGAACAGGGCGCAGCTGGGCACCGGGAACCCGCTTGGCAACGAGAGCGGAGGCCAGGAGCCGCTGCTGCTGCCCAGGGCCGCGCTGCTCTTGGGGGTGGAGAATCTCAACCGCGTGAGCGGGCTGCTGCCCTACAACCTGTCCCTGGAGGTGGTGATGGCCATCGAGGCCGGGCTGGGCGATCTCCCGCTCTTGCCTTTCTCTTCCCCCAGCTCCTCCTGGAGCAGCGACCCGCTCTCCTTCCTGCAGAGCCTCTGCCACACCGTGGTGGTGCAGGGGGTCTCCGCCATCCTCGCCTTCCCGCAGAGCACAGGGGAGATGCTGGAGCTGGAATTCATCTCCTCGGCCCTGCGCATCCCGGTGATCAGCATCGTGCTCCGGGAGTTCCCGAGGGAGAGCCAGGTAAGGGAAAGAGAGGGGCGGTGTATTAGGGGGGCGGCGAGGGGTGTTGTGAATCGAGCAGGGCTCTAGGGCAGATCGCCCTGCCCCATACAAACTATAACTATCTAACGCCTCAACTCCCCGGGGTGTCCCAAAGAGCCGCGTGTCCCAGTGGGGAGGCGCCCCCCGGCAGTGCGGATCGGGACAGGGGTCTGGCGTGAGCTGGCGCAATGGCTCGTCAATTCAGCACCATGGACACCGACGCACCTAAAGCGATGGCTCAAGCTAGAGCGGGGGACGCGGGCCAAACTGCTGCTGCAACCTGCTCTATAAATACCCTGGTGCGGGTCAGACCATGTACAATAAGCGGCTCCAGGAAACAGGAGAGTTCGCTTTCTAAAATATCTCCCAGCCGTGTGCTCGTTTGAGGCGCAGCTTTGTTTGCCATGAAGGGACTATACAGAGTTGGCAATTTCAAAACATGCATCAGTAGTCTCTCTCTCTCTCTCTCTCTCTCACACACACACACACACACACGTTGTAGGTGAAGCAGTAGCCACCCCTAGATTAAGGTTGCCTAACATTTTTGTAGCACTCTAGACTTCCTTCATGCTCTTTCTGTTCAATTTGTTCCTGAAGAACATTTCCTACTGTTCTGTTCCGTGTCACACACAAAAAAAGTTACCAATATAAAATATGCAGTAGAGGCCCTCAGATTTGTTAGGTATCTATCTCAGGCTGCCTGGCTTTGCTATTTGGATTCCTAATGTATGTAGAGTGGGTTGGTAGCCATGAAATGTACTGACCAATGCAGAACACAAGTTCTAAAACACCTTATTTTCCACCTCAAGTCAGACCTTTGTATTGTTATTGGAGGCCCATTTAACAACCAAAGTGTAGGGAAGCAGACTTGAACTGAAAGGAAAGTGGACTGTGGTGCCCTTCAAGTGGATCTTATCCCATCAAGAGCCAATATAGGAGAGTAAAGGGTTAAAAAGTCAAATATATCAGAGTGAAAAGGGAGAAGCAGCTCCAAAATTGAACTGGTTAATCACAAATATTGGCATTAGAATGATAAAGGTAGAGACCATGTATAGTATGCCCATGCCCAGAGCACTCTGTGATGCCGTGGAATTCACCCAACAGGAATTAGGCACCTCGGTGCTTTCAGAAATCTCATCATGTGCCTCTAGCTGCATATTTGAATGACTAAATACCTTTTAAAAAATCTGACCTTTTGTTAAATTCTACATTCCTGGAGCTAATATCACAACAACAGAACATGGTACCCTATTCATTGCATCAGAAGAAGTCATTTAGATTGAAAACTTAGAATTATCCCCCACCACATACAATGCTATATAGAGTAAAACATGCCATTCTTGTCCAGGTTTCTATTCTCTATGCAATATCTAATGACTAATGTATACTGACAATAAATCTAAACATAGTTATTACCAAGGGACACTGTTTACTTCATGAAGTTCTCCCTAAATAGTAATCATAATATTATCAGCAAAATGTAGCAATTTAAAGCTATCGTTGGGCAAAACAGATCAGGATTTCCTTCATTTTAATATCAATGCAAATCACACTGAAGTTTTGACAGGCCATTAATTAGGAGGCAGAAGTTCTTGACCAAAGACACCAAGAAACTGAGTCTTGCTTAGCATTCTTCTATGCAATATTACATGGAATGTTTACATACACAGACAAAATAGTTTATCTTCCAATCCCAAGATTTCTGATTGCCATTCACCAACTTTCCCAGGGAAATGACTCATAAGCATATGGTCGAAAATGAAATCACTCTACAAAACTGAGTCAGTGGTATGGGGAGAGTATGGATATAGGCAGTGTTGTTGGAAGTATGTGTGAGGAGGTTGAGTATTTTTGTAGCCATCTTCTCTGAATTTTCATACTGAAAAAGTTTGTTTTAAGAGTGAACTACAAATGAAGCATCAGCTGTTCAGTTTTACCGAGATTTATTATTAAAAAGAAACCTCACAAAACCGTGCAATGCAGTAAAACAATAAACAGCTAAAGATCTTCACAGTGAGTTCAGTGTGGAGATGGCACTCTCAGAGATGGATATAGCAGGAGGGGACAAGGAGACGTTATGCCTTTCTGGTTATTCACATATACCCTGGTTCTCTGCTCCAGCAGGTTTCTCTAGTATCTGATATCAAGGCATGAGATATTTTGGGGCACCACTGGGCAGTGGGAACCAACTGATTGTGGCTTTGGGGCATCAAAAAGGAAAATAAAAGATACATTTTTAGATTAAATGGTGAATCCCTGCTAAAATGGCAAATTTGGGCATACAGCAGATGCTGCAGCAGCAAATGGAATTTTGACATTTAATTTGCAGATCAATTGTAAAATCAAGCTTACTATTAGAAAAGGCTTTGTAGTGTCAAAGGATACTGAATGCCAAATGGCATGACCTTATTGGGTATGGTGTACCTCCAGAAGTGATATTGACCCTCTAGTCCCAAGTAAGTCTGAGCACTTGTGCGTAGGCAGGCATTTTGGGAAGTGGGCATAGGGAGAAGGCAGTCTTCTGTCAAATATAATAATTAAGGAGATGTTTCCAAAACAGAAGTCATTTTTGGCAAAGTAGTAATGCCTAGTTACAATATTTGATAGTTTTAAAACTACATCATCATCCTAAATTTGTCTGAATCCAAATACTTAAGTTTATAAAAGATCTCTCAATACCATACAAAGCTTACACTATTTCATTTGCTTTAATGTTCATTTTCTCCCATCCCACACAGTTTAGTATTAAAATGTTATGAAACATGCCTGTTGTAGACCGTGAGAGAGATGAAGGAGCCTCTTTAAAGGGTGGCTTTTGATTAACCTGCAGCTTCCCATGCAAAGGGGTGTTCAGTTGATTCTTGCTTTCTTCCAACTCCTGCTGAGTTATTCTGGTTCAGGAATACTTCCTACATGTACACTGTTAGGACTATGGGGCCTGATTCTCATTTAAGCTAAGGTCTCTTTAATCTTCCAGAGTAGTGGTGAAGGCCAAAGTAACCAAGAATTAGGCCCTGTCTGGACAGCAACCTGAGAATTTTTAATCCGTCTGAATGCGAACTTTGAAGGCACAACAGGCCTTTTGGTCATACAAATGTTGTTTTGTATCTTTCCCGTGTTAGGTGGAAGCTTTTGGTTGTGCAATTGTCTACCATTAAAAGTAGTAATATGTGTATTTGCTGTCTTGTGTTTAGTGTTTCAGAACCAAAGCCTCCTCATAAGCTCAGGGTTAGATCCCTATCACTTTCCTTCAACATTACGTACGTGTTCCCCAGAAACAGTTTGATTCTTGTTTTTACAATGTGCACATTTTGCATAGGGATGTGTGCAGTACCAGCTATAGGACTGGTGGAATTTCCACAGACCACTGTATTTACAACAGCAGTCCATCTGTCTATAACCTTTGAGTCCATAAAGGAAGGGACACCCAATGGAAAGGTGTCCTTGTTTGTATAGTGTTTTTTTCAGTGGGTGATTGGACAGCCCTTGTTTAGAGACTGGGAAACCAATATTGGCATCAGTTTGGGAAGTAATATTTGTTCCTTCTATACTTTTAGCTCTTTGGTTTCCTTGCTTAATGCATTGACTCCAAGTGTAACTTTATATATTATTACACACCTCATCTAACTGGAAATCCTCCTCCTCACAGTGTGACCTACAGATTAGCAGATTCAAGAGCCTATTTAAATCATTTATTTGGCATTGTTTGTGACATGGGGTGGTTTGACTCACCATATTCCCTGTGTCAATAGGCTTTGTACTAGTAGAAGAATTGGATGATGGATGGAAAATATTGCATTATTTCCTGTGTGGGGTCTATGACTTCAGTTCATCCAGACTGAAGAGAATCCTTTTTCAGAATCAACAAGCACTGTAGCTAAATTTCTAAATAAACATTTCAAAATGAAAAGTCAAAATGTTTCATTTCAAAAATGTCAAAACAAACTGACTTTTCTGAATTTTTTCCTCCCATATTTTATTTCGCTAAAATGATTCACTCAATTGGACCCAAATTCACATATAGTTTAATTCAACCAAAAAAAAATTCATTCTTTTGTCAAACTAGTCGCTGAAAAAACCATGTCCATCTCTAAATGTAAGGGGCTTTTGTCATTGAATATATACAGATTAGTTGTCCAAAAGGGCCAATTCATGCTCATGTCTACCTCTCTCTGTAGGTATATGTGGATAGCATATTACTAATTGTTGAATGGAAAAGATAGAATTATCAGTAATAATGCAGAAAAGGCAGACGTTCAGTAAATATTTCTGTTTTGAATTTGGGGAATAAAAACAGATAATGTAGTCATATCATACGATGCTGAGAATATGCTTTCCATTCCACTAGTATCGTGGAACAATGTTAAATGGCAACTACTAAAGTCAGACATGTTAAACCAACAGGTCCAGATAATTTGCGTCCAAGAGTTTTAAAAGAGCTGGCTGATGAGCTCGCTGGCCTGTTAATTTTGATTTTCAATAAGTCTTGGAACATTGGGGAAGTTCCAGAAAACTAGAAGAAAGTTAATGTTGTGCCAATATTTTAAAAGGGTAAACAGGATGACTCGGGTAATTATAGGCCTGTCAACCTGACATCAATCCTGGGCAAAATAATGGGGGGGTGTCACCAGGGGACTGCCACTGCACCCCACCTCCAAGCATGCACTGCTATGCCCAGTCCCAGTCAAGGTGGTTTATTCGTTTATAGCAAAGTTTAACAAGCAAACAAAATGCAGCCTTAAGTCAATACCTGACCCCCAGGCTTCAGGGCCACCGCTCCCGGGGATCTCTGGCTTTCCAGCTCCTGGCAGCTTCCTTGCCTCCTCCAGCTCTGCTCCCCTCTTGGAGTCGCAGCACTTGGTCCAGGGACCCACCACAGTAGTTAGCCCTACTCCAGTTGCTGACCAGGGCTAAGCCGATCTCAGTCCTTCCTCCCAGGGTTCCACTTGCCTCAGTCCTCTCCTCCCAGTTGCCTACGA